GAGTAAATGAAGAAACTATTGACCACATGAGAGAAGTCATTCGTGTTAGAGACTTTCCTCAAAGTAAAGTACAAGAAATTTCCGATTCAACAGGTATAGCATTCAATGTTACCATTGGTTATTTCAATGACTCAAGACATAATGAAATAAAGAGATACATACCAAAAGAATGTAAAACTGTTCGAACTATTGACTTACTTCTTGTTGAAGACCACTACATGCTAAACGAAAGATTACCAATGACAACATATTTCATTCGCAACTATATAGAAATCTTGAAGGAGTGTGGTGGAATGAACATTGAAAAACAGATGAAAATATATACAATGAGAGATGATAAATACATTGTTCGCATGGATAGAACTACACCGCTATGGGATGTTATGAAAACATTGTGGGAGTGCAAATATTTCGAACCTATTTCTTATGGAGAACTTTTCACATATACGACTGACTTATATAAACAGAACCTTGCACCATTTAAAGATTTGACATATGCTCCAAAGTATTGTGTACAACTGAAGAAGAAAGCAGAGTCAAAAGAAGTAAATAAAAATAAGTGCAAGTTCATTCCTGAGCATGTTTTCTTTGCTGACTTTGAGTGTAGTACCGATGGCTTTCATAAAGCTTTTAACATCTGTTATGACAGTGAAGATGGTTCAGTGAGTGAAAGCATATGGGGTCAAAACTGTGCAACAGAATTTTTGGAGCGACTTCCTGACAAGAGTTTAATATATTTCCATAACCTCAGCTATGACATAAACTTCATCTTAAGACACATGACAGAAGTGAAAGGAACTCCCATCATTAAAGGTTCACGAACAATGCAAATAACTGGCTTATATAAAGGAAGGGCAATTATTATAAAAGACTCTTACAGTGTTATAAATAAGAAGCTTAAACTATTTCCTGCTATGTTTAACTTACAAACAGGACCGAAAGAAGTATTTCCATATAACTACTACAGCAGTGTTTTGTTAGCAAATGACAACAGAACTGGTGTCATTTCTGAAGCATGTAAGTTTGTAAAAGATATTGAAACGTTCATGAAGAACATAGATTCCATCAAAGGTTGCAGAATAGATGAAAACCACTTCGACTTAGAAAAATATAGCACGTTTTACTGCAAACAAGATGTAAGAATTTTAAGAGAAGGTTTTGTAAAGTTCCGCAATGACTTATTGAAAGAGTTTGATTTAAACGTTTATGACTACGTTAGTATTTGTTCTATTGCTAACAAATTGTTTGAGAACAGAGTGTACTTCCCGAATGGAAATCTTTATGACCTCTCAAATAAACCAAGAGAATTTATTTCGAGATGCATTCAAGGTGGAAGATGTATGTTGTCAGATAACATTAAACAAAAGAGCAAAAAGAAACTCATTGCTGACTTCGACGCTGTTTCATTATATCCATCAGCTATAGCAAGACTTTATACTTTAGAAGGAATTCCAAAAGTATTGAAGGATGAGATGTTAAGCACAGAGTATCTCATGAGACATTTATTCGATGACGACCAAAAGGAACCCATTGGTGAAAAGTTTATGTCTGGCTTCTTTGTTCTCATTAAGATAACAGAGATTGGAATACATAGACACTTTCCTTTAATAGTTTGTGACCCTGAACTAAATCCAGAACTTAACGTTCCCAGAAGTTCAAACACTTGCTGTTTAATGTATGTTGACCATATAACATTACAAGACCTCATAAAATATCAAGGTGTCAAATGTGAAGTGTTGCAAGGATACTATTACGATGGAAACAGAGATATTAGAATAAGAGATGAAGTAAAGAAGTTGTTTAAGGTTAAAGTATAAAGAAAGAAGAAAACCCATTACAAGAAATTATAAAACTCATTCTGAACAGCATTTATGGCAAAACTATTCTATCTCCTATTGAGTCAAAAATAACCATAGTAGATGACAAAGATGCTATAGATAAGATATGCCATCAGAAACTACAACCATATAGTGAAGTTCGAAGGTTTGGATGGTTCAGATAAAACTATTTTCAAGCTAACGAAAAGCATTTGCAGACACTTTAACTTTTGCCACTTGGTGTAAATATTCTATCAATGTCAAAACGTATTATGAATGAAGTGTTTTGCACGATTGAAGACTTAGGATTAAAAGCATTTTATCAGGATACAGATTCGATGCACATTTACAATGAAGACATACCACGTTTCTCATGAATTTAAGAAGAGATACGGTAGAGAACTTATTGGTAAAAACCTTGGTCAGTTTCATAGTGACTTCGCAGAAATAACACCTGGAAAACAAAGTTTAGCATACAAGTCAATATTTTGTGGAAAGAAGACTTACATAGACTTACTTACTAACGATTTAAATGAAGTTGCATTTCACTGCAGAATGAAAGGCGTGAAGCAAGATGTTATTGCTTTAACCGCTAATGAAATGTTTCCTGAAGCTATACAATGCTATTACAATGAAGATAAAGGTTTAATGGTTCCGCAAGGAAAATTTGACAAAGACTCTGAGTTCAGTGTCATGAAACTTTATAAAGCACTTTATGACGGTCAAGAGATTGGATTTGACTTATGTAAGTCTTCTAGTCCTTGCTTTGCTGAAAAGTTTAACTTCTCAATAACGACTAAAACAAGCTTTATTCGTAAGTTGAAGTTCTGAGGTCATTTATTTTTGTCAGCAATGAGGTCATGAATGAGGTCATTTATTTTTGTCAGCAATGAGGTCATTCATGATAAAAATAAGCCGCTAGCGGCAAGGGCGAAGCCCATGTGGTCATTTACAATACTGCGATGGTAGAGTTTAAGAGTTGTGCTTCAATGTAGAGACAGTCCTTATGGTCTGGAGGTAAGAACACTGGGCAGTTATGGTCATGAGTGGAGAACATGTCTATCCAAAACTCACGATTGAAGCCAGTTAATTTATAGTATTTAGGGTTAGGAAGTGGTGTAGTTCTTGTATGACCAATGAACTCATTTTCAACTCCCTTACTTAAGTTTGAATATAATATAGCTTGCTTTCTATCCCAAATGCCAGGTGTTACAATCTTTGAAAATTCATTTTTCCTCGGAAGCATTGCATCATAATTGAAAACATTCTTGAAATCATCACTTGGTTCAGAGATTTGAAATCTTATACGTAATGGATTTTCTTTCTCTTTAGCTACTTCATTGAATGGTGAGAATACAACAAACTGACAGTCATGAGTTCCATCTTCATTTTCATTAAATTCATAATGAAAGTCTATAAGTTGTGGCTGACTACCTTCTTCTTTCAGTTGTGCAAGAAACTCACGTAAAGGCTGTAAAGTTTGTACTTCAATGTTAAACTTTTTCTCGAACATTTCATTAAATGAAATCATACATTGCAACAATGTTGTATCGTCTTTAAAGTATTTGTATATGTGAATGTTTTGGGCGCTTAAAGACTGTTCGTCATTTTCTATCTCGACTTGAAGTATAAAGTCAACTTTCCTAAATGCACGTGTTATATACATAGATGTTATGCCAATGTACTTCTCTTCATTTATGTTCACAATCCAGTCTGTTGGAAACTTAAACGTTACTCTGTTCCCCTTTATTTTGACGTCAGGGTTTTCACTACTGAACGCAACAGATAAAGGTATTTGTCTATACATTTAGTTCCAATAAAAATAAACCATTTACTCTTTCTTCTTCAGCTTCTTTAGCTTTTGCTTCAGCTTCTTCTCTAGCTTTTTCGCGAGTGGGTTCTTCTGTCTTCCAGCAGCTAATGCAGCTAGTTGTTTTTCACTAAGTTTTCTCTTTGGTCTCTCTGGCTTTTGTTCTTGTTTTTGTTCCTTCAGTTCGGATAAAATTTGCTCGCGAATTTCTTTCTTCAATGCTTCAACATCTATGACCCCTTGGGTCTTGTCCGTAGGACTTGTCTGAGTCATTTGACTGCAGATAAAAAACAAAATTAAAACTTTAACCGATGTAAAATGAGCTTGTCAAAATCAGAACGAGAGTCTATTATATTAAATGACGCCAGAGGAATACAACATCCTTTCTATTACGTAAGTCAGAGTAAAGATGGTAAAATATATGTAAGAAAAAGAAAGGTTCCATTAGCGAATGCAGAAAGCGACAACATTAAGGTGCATGGCAAGGGTGAAGTCCACGAAGCCCATATAAAACCTTCTGTTCAAACTGAGCCACCAAAAGAACCAGAAGAAAAGAAGCCAGATGTACTTTCAATAACGAACCAAGAGCTTATTGCAAAGTTCGTGAATTTCATTGAAAAACAAACCGAGTCAAAGAACCCTGACCCGCCAGTGAAAGAAGTTGAGACAAAAGAGAATGTACAGTTCATTGAAAATGTCAAGAAACAACTTCCACCACGAATGCCAAGAAGAAGAGTGAGAATAATGAAGTAAATAGATATTTTTATCTGAAGTAAATACATGCAGAACGAACAGCTAAACGAATTTACTCCAGCAGAGCATATTCATCAGATTCGCTCATATTTCGATATCATAGACAATGCAGTTCAAATTGGTGACACTAATAGAAAATATTCTGACGCAAAGATTCCATCACAACCTGGAACTGCTAAAGATAACACATGGGTAACATTCAATCTCTCACCTCCTGGTGAAAATATGTTGGACCTTTACAATACATTCATTACGTATAAAATGGAAGGTCAATTTATTGTAGATAAAGAAATTGGTTCAGGTTCCAATAAAACAAACCCACCAGGATTTTGGATTGGTTTCGATGACGCTTTCTCTATGCAGTTGCTGGATATCAAATCCTTGCAAATGGTCGTATCGTATATTCTCAAGACAACGCAAGAGAAGAAGCATATATAACTTCAAACTCACAAACTACCGAACAAATAAAGAAAGTAGATGTTTTCTCAAAGACTCGACATGAAGATGTATGGAGTCATTCGGGAACATGCAGAACAGGACAAATTGTTAGTGGTCCAATTACAGCAGGAAAATCATTTGATTTTAAGCTTCGTTTAAGAATTCCTGTTAGAAGATTCCTTCCATTAGAAGCTATTCGATTTATTCCAGCTTTTGCAGGAAACATTCAGCTTAAAGTAAAGTTCAGTAGCGACGCCTTACAATGCACATCTATATCTGTAAATGATATCATTGCTTTCAATCCAACTCTTAAAGTTGCATTTGCTTCAGATTCAAATCCACCGACAAATAAATTTGTTCCATGGAATGAACCATTCACTATGATAACGAAGGCAGTAGAAGCTAGTGGAACAGTTACTATTACAACTGTAAACCAGCAACTATTTCGAACAAAGATGGATTTTAATGAATGTTTCATTCATCCAAAGTCATTCTCTTTAGACCCTAACATTTATACAGAACTTGTAGAACATTATACAAACGAGGCTTTATGTTTTCCTGTTAAAGTTATGGATTGGATTCCTATGGACGGTTCATTCTCAAAGAATACAGATAGTTCAAGTGCAACATTTACAGCAGCTTATACGCCTATTAATGTTAAAAGTATTTGGGCACTATTTAGAAAGAAAGACAACTATTATGTTAATTTTGAGAACCCTAAGTTTAAATATCTTCAGCTTTCCATGGGAGCTTATGGAAATATGCCTGCAGAACCTGAAAAATCATATGGACCTGTATTTTATGAAATGGTTGCGAACGCTTGCAATACAAACAATGATATGATTGGATTTAATGAAGATGTTATGAGGTCATTGGTGGATGATGGTAGTGTGGAACATAAATGGGATAGCTATGACAACACACATTTCTTATGTGGTTTTCCAACAGAAGTGGACTTTTGCTTCCAGCAAGGTCAAACATCTACTGCTCCAATAACATACAAATTGTCTGTTAAAGGACCTATTGAACTAGCAACTGAAAACGTACCAAAGCCACTTATTGGATTTATGAGGGATTGTTGCTTTGCCATTCAGGTGCGTGCTAATGGCATCCCCATAATAAGATTAGATGACTATAACTTAGCTACGGACGACAGTGAGGAATAAAGGATGAACGTTTATTTTTAAAGCTTATAAATGAGTTCTTCATCAAGCTCTCGTGAACCTTCACCATCTATGAAACAAACTTTACCAAACGATTATGGAGCACCTATTGAATATTTCTTACGAGCTGCACAATGGCAAAGAGCAGTCTCACCAAGGTTAGGTGTTCCACCAGCTCCTGTCAAAAATAGCATTTGGTCAAGTCCTTATATAAATATGGTCTCCCACTAGGTTTGCTAGCTACAGCAGGAGCAGTTATGATGTTGAAAAGAAATAAAGCAAATGTTGTAAATAATACTGAAGTAGCTGAAGTTAAACAAACTCCGACACCATCGCCAAAACCAACGCCTTCACAAACAACACCTTCAATGACTCCTGAACCTATGGAATTACAAACTCCTGTTCAAAAGTCAACTCCAAAACCGACTCCAACATTTAAACCAGAACCTACTCCTCAAATAAATCGTAAAACTCCTGCGTTTCCTTACTGAAAAAATAACGTTATTTTTATTTAATATTAAAATTTTTATTTGATTGAAATGACGACTAAAGTCACTGAAGCAATGAAACAAAAGTTTTTGGTAGAATACATTAAATCAGGAATTATTCCAGAAGGTTTTTACATTCATACTATGAAGGATGGTAGAGTTCAGTTTAGAAAGATAAAGCAACCATTAGATAAAGAAGGAATTTTGAGAAAGATTAAACTTCATGAGGACAACATTGCTGAACTTAAGAAGAAGTTAGAAGAGTTGGAGAAAGCAGACGACAGAGAGTTATAAAGCAATGAATTCAACAGGGTAGAAATGAGGTTAGAAATGAGGTTAGAAATCGGGTTAGATCTCACCACTTCACCTAAATTTATTTTTGTGCTATGTTTTCATACGTGTGAGGGTGGTGAGATCATTTATTTTTTATTTTATTTTTTAAAATTATTTTTATTTTATTTGGATGTAATGACAGAACAAAAGCAACTCATACAAATCAAAACATATAACAAACATACATTTAAACATTTATTCTTCCTTCCTGAGCATAACATGTTCTTTCAAATACATCCGAGACCAGTTGACTTTTCATTGACTGTTTATAAAGATAGAAATAGTTATATCATTAAACCATACGATGACGAAGGTAAGTTATGTAAATTGTACGTTAAGAAGTTAGAGAAAGTTTATGGCTTCAAGTATGACTACAATAGGGTTAACACTGATGATGAAGATATTGAGGAAAATTTATGAGAACATTAGTGAAGTTGTTAGTGAGAACGATAGTGAGGTGAAATTGTTGGCGGCTTTGTAAATATTTAAGGTTAAGTTAGTTTTTGCGTTCATGTTGTAAAATATACGTTAATGGTTTTGTAAAGTGTCAAATTCACAAGTATTGGGTAAGGTGGAACGCAGTGCCACCATACCCAAGACTTGTATACTAACTATAATAACACACCGCATGAAGATCTCCCAATTAATCCATTAACTGGAACAAATTACACGCCAAATCAAATGTATCAGCTGAAACCGAAATACACAAATGCAGATACAGAAAGGTTGTGGCAAATATGGGATACAGATACAGGCATGACCGCTGTTGACACATTCACAGCGTAATAATAAACATAATTTTTTAATTTCATTTTTAACAAGTTTTTTTAAATGTATGTAATGAATAATTCATTAGAGTATGATAATGCACATTGTAACAGAATAGAACAATCACCAAATTTTTTTTTTTGAAATTAAAAAATAAAAGTAAAAAGTATAAAGTAATCTAACCAAAAAAGATATTTAAAAGAATTTTGGAAAAAACAGAATAAGGATAATAATATTATTTTAGATACACAATCGATGTACTGAAGAATAATCCGGTAAAATGATGATATAAAATTAGATTATTTTACAAGTAGCTAAAAGAATAAAACTATAATATAAAATAAATGAAGTTTAATGAAACAATAAAGGTTAAATAAATAATAAAGATTTTTAATTTATATCAGTATTGAGAAGAAGTAACAGCTGACACTTGGTAGACAACTTCTTTATGTCTAGAAAATTCTATCTTGCCTTTTATTTTTTTCTCGCTGTGAAACGTATTCGGTCATTTTTTTAAAAATTAATTTTTTGTTAGAGATAAGAGCTAAAACTCGGTAAACAACTTCTTTATGTCTAGAAAATTCTATCTTGCCTTTTATTTTTTTCTCGCTGTGAAACGTATTCGGTCATTTTTTTAAAAATTAATTTTTTGTTAGAGATAAGAGCTAAAACTCGGTAAACAACTTCTTTATGTCTAGAAAATTCTATCTTGCCTTTTATTTTTTTCTCGCTGTGAAACGTATTCGGTCATTTTTTTAAAAATTAATTTTTTGTTAGAGATAAGAGCTAAAACTTTGCAGACAACTCCCCCATGTCTAGCAAATTTAACATTCGTCTCCAATTTTTATATATTTGGTTTAGAATGTTCGAAAATGCGTAATATGGTCATTAATATTAATTGAAAAGAACCTTGAATTAATTCAATCTGATCTCACAAAATATTTTAAATTACAAACTTTGTAGTTTGAATAGATAATTAGTATTAAACTCAAATAACTAGTTTATTTTTGAATAAAAATTATTTGAATTTATTCAATTTTGTGAATTTTCCTTCAAAAATCAAGTTTAAATATCTTATTTGCCATATAATTATAAATACAATGAAACATATTCGAAATTGAAAAGAATGACTTTTTCTGTTCTTTCAATCATTCAATTTGAATTTTGCAATATTGGATTTCCCATTAAATAGCTATTAAAAACAACAAGCAATTTAACTTACATTCAAATTTATTTGTGTTATATTCAATCTTCTCAAAACTTATAATTTTCGGCTATAGCATGATTATATGCTATATAATATAATAAACCTATAATAGTATCATTCTTTCAATTATTTGAAGAGAAAACCGAAAAAATCTATTTTCGCTCTATAACAATTCATCTTTTTCATCCAACCATACTAAAAAATTAGAAAATTTATAATATACGAATAGGTATTCATATATATACCTAATATGAATGAAGATTGACGGGGATGCCTTCAATCCGTTGACGGGTGATCACGGTTTGATCGAAAATTCTGTGAAAAAACCGTATCAATTTTTCTGAGTATATACAATTTTATTGAATTCATTTTGGGCCGACAAGTCATATTAATCAAATTTTAGGTATTTCCAGCTAATACTATCATTATAATAATCTCGATAATGTACTTTTCCCTTGGCGATATTAATTTTTTGGATTTTTCATATTGTCATTTTATTTATTACTGGATATCTTCTTTGACTATAGCAACAGACAGCACACATACTCGTTATTATAACTGTTTCAATTAGTGCCATATCAATATCTCCCTTCAAATTACAAACCAAAGAGAATATATATCTTTATTCCATGAGAAACCAAGTTACAGATAATCGGAAATTCATTGAATCAAAGAGTTCGAAGCAATCAACATAGTTATCTTACAATTCTTTATTTTTTGTCTGTAATAGCTTTAATTTTACCTACTATAGTCTAAATTCGAATTCCATGCTTCAATCTTAGAACTACAGAGAATGATTCAGCCTTATATATCTTTATATTAATGCATTTCATATATTAATTTCTTAATCGTTTTTTTTTGACTCTTATAAATGTTAAATCTCTTTCCTTTCATTAATTCTATTAAATACATACAATGACCTTACTTATATTTTCAAATGTCTCAATATTTGGCTTGATTTAACTTCCATAGGAAATAATTTTAATATTCGAAATATAAGCTACTGTGCAAAATGTGTAGGACCAACATAACTTTGTGAATTATTACCTACTTACTATTCAATGACTTTTTCTCAAATTACATTTTTATTCAACAAATAAATGAAAAAATATCATTACATAGCATGAATTATTTTGACGAATGAACATAATCTATACAATTAATTTCTGGTCAAAAGTGTTTGTGTTCATCTTTAGATCAGATTCCTCTTTCTTCTTCTTTTTAGCAAGAAGAACTACTGGAATTACTGCAATTATAATAACAATAATTGAAACTACAACAATCACAACTATTTTCTTCCCATGCTGATTAGGAGGGTTGGAAGTTGGTTCGGGTGTATTCGATGTTGGTGGATAAGAAAATTTGAAACCATACCATTTATAGTGGTTTGGTGAAATTTTTTTAGATTGAGGTATATAGTTTTTCCATGAGTCATACGATGGAACATCAATTTTTATGTCCTCAAACGAAATGTGAGAACTAAATGTTTTCGGAGGCATATTTCCAAAGTAAATATGTTTGAGATTTGAGCATAAAATAAATAAATATCCGTAACTTGAATTAACAATTTCCAAGCCTGTTAATATCAAAGTGTTTAAATTAGTACAACTTGAAAAGACTTCATCGCCCCTTATTTCTTTTACAGATGATAGATTTAATTTATATAATAATGAACATGAAGCGAAACTACTATCTGAAATAATTTCCAATGAATTTAGGTGAACATCCTCTAATGACTTGCAACCTTCGAAAGCTGATTTCCCAATATAAGTTAATTCTTTAAATTCGATTGTTTTTAGTGCAGAACACTTCATAAAGCCAAAATCACCTATAGATTTGAGATGAGGGATATTTATATTTTTAAGGGATACACAAAAATGAAAGGCAGAAACACCTATTGACGTTACTTCTTCAAAGCTGATTGTTTCAAGCCAAATACAACCATCAAATAAGAAGTTACTTATATTTGTGAGATGTGGGATATATACATTCTTGAGGGATTCACAGCTGAAAAATGCAAATGGGTCAATTGTTGTGACATTTTCAAGCCTAACCGTATCAAGAAATGCACAACAATAGAACACAGAATTAGCGAGATGTGACAGATGCGGTATATTTATACTCTTTAGATGCCTGCATTGATAGAATGCTAATTCATCAACCATTATCGCTTCTTCAATATTAATTGTTTCAAGAACTAAACAATTGAGGAATCCTGCACATTTTATAATTTTAATATGAGGCATATTCGCATTCATGAGAGATTCACAATAAGAAAAAGCAAAATTACCAATCGATATCGCATTTGGAATTGAAACTGATATAAGTTTACTGCAGTTATAAAATGCATGATCCCCAATTGTTGTTGGACCAATCAATGTTACATTTTGAATATTTGACGATGCATAGTCTTTATTAACAGTCTCATTTTTTAAGTTTGTGAAACAGATTTCTTCAATATTAGTACTATTTGATAAAAATTTATTTTCTGTTGTTATTTCGCTGTATATTCTAATAATTTTAAGAGAACTAGAATTTCCAAAATTATTGGTTGAAATTAGACCGCTATAACAGCCATTTTCGAGTTCAAATGATGTGAGATTTGAGTACTCTTTCGAAATAAATTCTTTCATGTCAAAATCACCTGATAGAACATGAATCGAATTTACTGAATTCTTCTCAATTCTATTATTATTCAGGATCTCATCAAGAGAAGAACCTTCATATTCGATGTCATTGATTGACACTTTCAGGGATATACAACATGCGCAGAAAAGGCTCAACATAAAAAAAAAAGAAAAAAATTTTGAGAGAGGTGGTTAAAAAAAACAATAAAATAGCTTTTAATAAGAATCGTTATTAACATTATGATTTATTTCCTAAAATTGAAATCCGATCAGATTTGACGGAGTTTTCCTATGAGAAGGTTATCTACTCAATAAATGGGATTGTTTTCCAATGTGCATCTAATAATCTAACTTGTTTTATATAAAGTACCGTCAACGGCTGTCCATACATAACTTCACTCACTTCATTTTTCTTTTTTAAAAGAGAAATTGCCTTAAAATGAAGGGTGCAACTATTTCTGACTTTTTTCACAATTTTTTTGACACAACTTCTCCTAGAAAGATATCCACTCATAGCTGTTTTAGCATTGATATTAGATATTCAACAATGACTAATAACACTAAATTTGCAACGCAAAATGTTCAATAATTATTGTAGAAAGCAACCTATTAGATGGACTTAACAATCATAACTCACATTCTTTAGTTAGTTGTCAATAAAATTATAAAGAATGTGAGTTTAAAAGCACAAATATAAGGAACAGATATCATAAGACTCACCTATGCATATTATAACTCTAAAATATTAAAAATTATAAAGAAATCATTCAATTAAGAAGTCATTATATATAAATAGATACTAAAAGAACTAATAAAAAGTATAATTATCATATAACTAACTTATGTTTATTATAACTCTATAAAATTATAAAGAAATTATTCAATTAAATTTTGGAGGAGTCATTATATATAAAGAGATACTAAAAGTACTAATAAAAAGTATAATTATCATATAACTAACTTATGTTTATTATAACTCTATAAAATTATAAAGAAATTATTCAATTAAATTTCGGAGGGGTTGGCAATAAGAATGTCAATCCCATAGCACAAAGGATACCAGCATTGACGGCGAATGACATCAAAAATCCGGCAAATTTCCTTTGTTCGAGGGTTAATTCGTCTGGATTTGATCCATAAATCATCTGGACAGTTCCGAAGTAACCATTACTTAATGCGAACGGAATCATCCATCCGAATGTCCACCATGGCTCAGCCTTGAACTTATGCTGAATGGAGACAATGAAAATTGGATAAGAAAGGAATCTCAAAACTATTGGGATCCAAGCGAATTTTCTCGGTGGCCAGATGAATAATCCAGGACCAGCTCTTCCGACCCAATCAAATACACAGAAAATCGTAACAACGATAACTGATGTCCAATCACCAATCTGCTTCGTAGCGCGAGTGTTGGCAACGTATCCAGGGAATATTGAAAGTGTAATGAGGAAGTTGGCAAAGACAGATAACCATGAAACCCAAATTGATTTAATAACAACGAGAGTTTCGCGGTTAAAGATAGCTACTTTCTCGGATTTGGATGCTGGAATCATTTTCAGACGTATTTCTGGCTTTTGCATCTTAAATAAGAAGAAAACTAAAGTTAAGAAAATTATACCTGCCGAAATAAAGAAATATGCACATGTTGAATACAAATTAGCACGATCTGTAACAGCGGCTGCTTTTGTAATGATTCTGAGAACAGATGCAATAACTCCGCAGCATCCACAACCGGATGAAGCCATTGCTGAAGAAATAGGACCAAACTGAGAAGCAAATGAGAAAATAGATGAGAAAAGTAAGCTAGAAACAATGCCTGTTAAACCAATAACAACAAGAGTCAAATATAAAAATGCATTTGCGTTTAAATGAATAATCAAGAAAATCGGAAGGAAACACATGATAAATGTAAGTGATGCAAGTGCAGAAATGAGGGAAATCTTGTAATTCGTTGGCTTGAAAATGCAAAGAAAAAGAGCCATCAAAGCGTTTGGAATATTATAAGATCTGTTCAATAAACTAGCCATATCTGACCTATTTGTCTTTTTGGCATAAATATCTATAGCGTTGATAATAATATTAAATGCAAGTAAAGAAGTATTGCCTAGGAAAAAGAACATCAGGCTCTCTGAATTTTCGTTCTTTGACGATGGCTTGTTAGGTGTTGATTCTGGAGTCAGAAGGGGATCTTCTTTCATATCAGCCATTTTTTTGTGAGTGAAGTATTTGAAATTTCATCGTTTTCATGTTCTTTCAATTTTTGAAATATTTACATTTTGTTTCTTCATCAAAATTATCGGTTGATTTATCCCATCCAATTGTTACATTAATTTACTCAATAGTAGACTTGTCGAAAGCAAATACCAAGAAGCGCAATTTAATTAATAGGAGTTTAACATTTGTTCCGAAAATCTGATCGTAGTTCACAATGAATAGAGAAGCCATGCTATCTTCTAATACACAACGATGTTTAACCACGTTATGCCCACATCAAATTATGTAAATTTCTATCTAAACTCGGCGGGGGAGGGATCATTGTGGAAATTTTTCTCGCTGTAAGAATTTTGTGATTAAAATTAATCAAAGAAAATTTAACCTTAATAAGTTCTATCAGTTTAATTGATCTATTTTTCAAATGTTCGTCAAATGGAGAATTAATTTTATTTAAATCCCTGGTTGAGCGCAGATTTGGCGTAGGGAAATACTATGCTTTCTTGATACACAACATTCTAAAACCAAGAATTATTGATTATAAACAATTTTCATTGAGGAATGAAATAAGGACTTTACAGACTTTGTTAGATATGTTCGCAAATGCATTCAATTTTTTAGTGTTGTAAATCTTTCCGAATCTAAATAGAGAATCATTCCTACATAATTTTTTTGGAATATTTATAGAATTTGTAGATTTCTCTATTCGAAACATTGAATTTGATTTATCTTAAAGGGATATGTGCTTTGAATGCATTGCAGTGTAAAGTTATAGCCTTTTCAATGAGAGAGGGTCAAAGTTGCTATTTGTCACTTTTCCACAAGAAAGATACTATTTATCACAAATGCTAAGATAAAATTCGGCAAGGTTATGACAGATTTGCATTTATCTAATTATACGATAAATAAAAGGCACAATTGATGGAAATTCTGACAGCAAGACGATAGATATAATAATGGCCCCGAAAATAGATTTCAGAATCAATTGAAATAACTCTGAAATCTATTTTGAGAAGTGATTCAATTAGAGGTAGGGCAACGATAGAAAATTTTTGGAAAAAAAGTTCGGAGATCTTAAACGTATCATATTCCCTGCATGGTTTGGTATCTTCCGCCATGCGTTGTGCCAAACATATTGACACTTTCCAATAATTAATTTATGGTATGAGTCACAGAGTTAGATTATAAAAAGAAAGTAAATAATTGCAATTAGAAATCATATATGTCGGAAATCAAATGTTGATGAGCAGAAACCTTTTACTCATCATAAAAGAGATAAATCACTAAAGATTTGTATACATTAAAATTTGATATTTGGTGCTCGAAAACTGTCTGATGGGACTCCTCCAAAATGAACCAATCTATCGCTGAGGACCAAATTAGATGATATGGATGGTGTATTCTCTAATTCTAACTTAGGAAGAATGGGAACAAAACGAATGACGACAACAACATGTCAAACATAGATTAAATATCTATGAATCAATAAAGTATACGTGCATTGAAGGTGATAACGATCACTTGAGGCTTATAACTCTTTGACTAAATTATGCAATAATTAAATATAATCATTTTTATATTTTTATACTGATAGTAATTAATATACTATCCTGCTTAATAAATGGTATGATCAAATTTGTTTGAAAATTTAATTATGTATATGAAACTATGTCTTCTATATAAAAATCAAAATTTTCTAACGAACCTAGATTGAACCTTTATGAAAATCTATCATTTTTGTTAATTGAGTTAATATGAATCTTTTACATATGTATATATAGCATTGATAGCTTATATAATCATGGTTTATTCCATATTAACATATTTTTTCAGTTAAATTTGTTAATAATATCATGTAACAAATTAATTCAAGATTAGAATGTCTACAAAATGCTAACAAATAAGAACAAAATACGATTTCTCGACTTAAATTTTAATATGGAGTAGTTTTTCGTTTAAATCTAATTAAAAATGAATAAAAACTTATCTTGTACTATTTTCATTCAAAGATTTTAATAATGTAAATCATGCATTTTCATAATTCAGTACAGTTCTTTTTAGAATTAAAGTTGATGAGGATGATATTTGTGATTTAAAATAATTTGTTAATGTTCACCTTTTATTCATCACATTGTGGTATGCCCTAAAGCAATAGCATTATCAATTCTGCTGAATTGATCAACTCAAAATTCCAAAAAAAATTCAAAATTTCAAAAATGAAATTAAACAATTTGAATTTTCACATGAAAAAATCAATTTCGAAAAAAATTTGGAAAATCAAAGTATTTGATAATTAGTCAAATAATCAATTTACATCGTTTTTACTCATAAAAAACAACTAATTTTTGATTTTGATATCATATTTGATAAATACTCATTCCAGAGTTGACGTAATGTATTAATTATTGTTAGAGATATTGCTTTCGCAGCAAAATTCTTATTTCATGAAAGAAAAAAAAAATGATTTTATTCCAACAAAAACAAGTAAACAGATGAATGGAAACGTACTATATTTTCATAAATGTAGTAATCAGCGTGTCAGCTTTTGTTTATCATGTTCGAGTCAAAATGTATTAACTTGTAATAAGAAATATTCGAAGATTATATGAAGTATTGAGCATTCTTTGTAGAAATATTTGTAATTCATTACTAACATATATAATAAAGTTGTTTTTTTTTCCTTATTGCAATAATTTTGTCTGATTTTAATAACTTTTCATGTATACGAGTTGTGTGAATATGCATCATAATATGCGTAAATATACTTATTTGCGACGAATAATGTGGTTGCATAATGGAGGTGCTAAATTTTGATTTTTAATATGGGGCTTTGGTATGTATAATCATGTTCTTATCTCAACGTAGGAGTATTGGTGCAATATGATTAAAATTTACGAGGTTGATCTTAAATTGAATAATTCTGGAGTATAAATCACAATGCAGCTAATTCTATGTTAAAGATAGATACAGATTGTAGTAATCAATTAGGGAGTACAAATTCATTCTTTCATTTCTGTCGTATTGAGCAGAAAGGAAGAGATCATAACCCTAGGAAAAAAAGCCCAAATTTGTCACTTTTCATAGTACGTTAAACTCAATTCGCTCGGCGAATGCCGAGCACACGTACTCATCATTCAACATAATATTCTCATTCTTTGGTTATTATAGTGCCAGACAACACAAGATTTCAAAGAATTACTTGAGTTTTCAATTAATCTTAATCCGATTTTAGATTTATCGAGAACTCCATCATCACAATCACATACTTCAGTGCGGTAACTACAATTATCCATATACAGAAGGAAGTTCTTTTCGAACAACTCATTTGGAGTCTGTTTTGGAAAGAACTTCTTTCTGTCCGACTTAATTTCATAGTTCCTGATCAACCAAAAGACAGAAACCACACACTATCTACTTAGGAAAGGAGTTCTTTCTAAATCTTCCTTAAATTGAGATTTTACGAGAGATAACCCTTCTATTGCACTTAAAAATGAACATTTTGATATCTTTAGTATCACACATGGTCATATATAGTATTTCATCTACATGAATACATTCATCTTTCGAAGTCTCTCATTAAATGGGAGGCTTCGAAAGATGAATCGTTTTATTCATACAACTTTAAATCTCGAACACATTTAGAGAGTGAGTATATCATTTTATTCTTGTTTTGAGTTTATTCTGATTCAAAATTGCAGTGAAAACAGAAGTTCACACATCATATCTGAATGTGAGCTCATCTATACTTATACGATCTCAATACCTCCACTCTAAGCATAAGAGGTGAAGTTATATAAAAATTATCAGATGCGTTGAAGTCTCAAAAGTATTGCCTGAATGCTTGTTTCATATTTGTCCAAGTAGTTTCAATGAATAAATGTATTGTTTTTTATAATTTCGATTTATTTTTAGAAAATATTCAATATAAACCTTTATTGTGTTATTTACATCTCATAAATTCTCTGTCTAAATCATATAAAAGCGCGTTTTACCCCTATGAATCAAGAAATTCATTCAATATTCATGGTATATTTATTAAATTTATACGATTTACTAATAATCAATATTATATCCTCATAAATAGCAATATATTTTGGTAATCTATGATAATCATATACAATATTTGAAATCAAATTTTCATTAGTTTAGGTTCCTTGTTAATAGTAAACCATTATATTTATTACTAATAATAAAATCTATGTTTCGTATTGAAATTCAATAAAATTACTTATTCGGTCCAAAAAAACAAATTAGATAAAATTTTTCTTTTTTTATGTAATTTTTGTTTTTCATTTTTCTCAAGATCCTAAGTTATGTTCTAACTTTTGACATCATATCCTATCATGCTAGGCTATATATTATAGCATATCCAAAAGGCAAGGAAATCTATCAGAGAAGCCTTTTTGACCTATCGTTGCCCTACCTCTATTCAATTTTAGTAAATCAAAATGACCACTAGGCTTTATGAGTACAAGGAAGAAATCGGCCATAAAGAGAAAGAAGATAATAATGATATGAAAGAAGATAGTAGTGATGAAAAAAAAAATTACAACTATTCGGCATGAATCTGACGTTGAACCTTTCTCTCTGATCCAGAAAACTTTCCTATTATTTTTCCGAAAATCAATTGGAATTCAATATTTTCATCAGAACACAACAGCACAACGTTGGAACTATTTTCAAACATTGCAGCAAATATACTTTTTAATAACAAAGAATACTTTTCTACTTTTGTTAACTCAGACCTTTTAGAATTTCTTATTAATTTGATGACAGAAGAACAAAACACCGCTACAAGAATATCAGCAGTAAAGTGTTTACAATATATTCTTGAGAATGGAGAAAATAGTCTACTTTCAGATGAGATGAAAGCTAAGCTCGCTAATTCAATTGTTCAATTACTTTCTTACAATCCATTCTTGGAAGGATTATCATTACTCCAAATGATCATAAATGGTGAATCTTTAAAGAATCAAATTGTTGAAATAATTTTAGAAGAAAACTCAGCCGACACTATTACTCAATGGATTGAAGTCCAGGGTCAGGATGTGATTGACGAGTTCCATGACTTATTATTGATTCAATCAAATAAAAGTGCCAATTCCCTGAATATGTTGAATAATGCTATTTGGGAAAGTCATTTTTGTAGAACCAGTTCGAAAACTCTGATTTTGTATTTCGAAATTTCAATAATCAATATAAATAATGATCTGATGTTCGGGATAATATTTATTTCTTGAACAAGAGGTGTACTGCTGATTTGAAAGGAAGTTCTTGAGTTTTTGGGAAATTAACTAAATTATTTTCCCAAATTTTTCTCATTCAATGAGAGGTTTCGTAAGAAACACTACCCCATTTGAATAAATTTACATCTCTGACTATTCTTGAATCAGAGAGTACAAGTGTCATGAGTGAGGATAATAAAGTATAACTAATATCAAAAGAAGCAAGATAATTACTCATCCTAGCTACTCTATACTAGAGTTTAGGCTGCATTAATGCCATGATTTTGACTTCCAGATTCTCATGGATTATTAATTTTAATTTCTTTGTCGAAATCACTTGTTGATATGGATGGTGTAGCACTATTATTGTCCAGATCAAAGGCTGCATAGCATTTCTTAATCATATCACCTGATTATTCACACATAAATTAATTTCACCAACATTTGTAAACCAACACACTTTTTGCACCCTTATAATATAAATATTACAAATACAAACAGTTTATTTTGCATGATAATACATATATTTTGAACAAAATAATAAATTAACTTAGAGAAAAAGAAGCACATCCACCAGCACCTTTAGTAATCGTGAAGCGCTTTTTTGGATCCCTTCTAAGCGTTTTTACCAGGTAATTTCGATTTTTAGATTCAATTAAATTTGATAATTCGAAATTTTGCTCTTTAATGAGAGCAGCAATCTGATTAGTAGTTAGTGGTGTATTTCCTCGTTGCATGAGCATTGATTTAACAAACTCTCTAATTAATTCGGCTTGTTTTAGATCATTTGTATGTGATTGGTTTTCTGATTTTTCAGGAAGATGTTTAATAGTCCATTCCTCTTGATTATAAACTTTTCCAACTATGCCAAAGTATGTAGCTGACTTTTTGTTTACTTCTGATTGAAATTTCAAAAATCTTTTTTGTGGATCTTCGACTAGCGATTTTGCCATGCATGATGTTGATTTGCGTTGATCAAGTAACTGAGCGAGCGATGGATGTGACTTTGATATGAGTTCATGGATACGACCTGTAGATAAAGGCGTATCTGAGTCAGTTAGAATACTAAAAGTAATAGATCTATATTGTTCTGCAAATGCTATCCCATCTGCACGTGATATATGATTTTCTGATGTTCTACTTTGAGAATTGACAAAATAATGTGCAAGTGCATTTAAAAAAGAATTTGGCTCTTCGGCTTTAGGATTAAAAGAAGAACCAGAAGCCCATGCATCACTCCCTACGCCTTCTCCATTCCCGATATTCCAATCGAGAGAATTAGGTTTCATAAATTTTGTTTAATATTTTCCCCGTGTAAATATATTAATTCTCACAATTTTTGAGAGCTGGACGCCAAGAATAAGAAATCGAATTTATGCATAAATTTTCCCAAAACAAAAGAAGGAGTACACAAGTAGGGTGAGCTGATCCTAAATCTTCATAGTCGCTCCTTAAATCGAACTCCATTGGGAATTTTAAAATTAGTGAAATCCAACAACAATCAAGGAAAAGTAAAGTTAATAGACAAAGACCATGAGTTCGTACCGTCTTTGTATACGAAAATGCCAAATCTATTAAATTGAAATTGATTCTAATGTTAAATGCATCGAATCAATAGAATCGAGGATTCTCTTGACTCATATTCAAATAAACTGTTGATTTAGAATCAGTATTTCAATAGTATACCACATATATCTATTATAAAAAAAAAAGAAATATAATTTTTCGTTATTTAAATATAACTTTTAGGATCAAAATTACATTAATATTATTACCCGCCATAATATGAGATATAAGGCTATAAAAAATTGGTATATTTGTTACTGTATATATTTTTAACATGAACAACCGTTATTTTCAGGCTGTGCTTGATCAAACCTTATTGAGGCACGTAGAGATTTCTTTTCACCAGAGTCACCGCCCTGGTTTTGGGACAAAAGTTGGTTAACAATTAAATCGCAAATCGAATTGAAAAGGGCTTCGATATTTTCAGCTGTTTTAGCAGAAGTTTCAAAGTATGGCGCATTGACGCTCTGCGCTATCCTTTGGGCGTCTGCAGGTGATATTTTTCTCTTATCAACCAAATCGACTTTATTACCTGCAACAACAATATGAATATTATCTCCTCTTGCCTTCTTAAGCTCTTCTATCCATTTTTCTGCGCGGGTGAATGATTCTTGATCGGTAAGATCGAAAACAACAATTCCTGCTTCAGCATCCCTATAAAATAAGGGAGAGAGTGCATTATAACGCTCCTGTCCAGCTGTATCCCAAATCTCCAAGGAAAGCTGGTGATCTCTATGAGTAATCTGCTTTTGAGCTAAACCAGGTTGTGTTGTTGAAATGGTATGCTGGGTAAACTTACCTAATACATATTTGTTAACAATTGATGTTTTTCCAGTATGCTGTGCTCCAACAAGAACAATCTTTACTTTCTTCATGAAATTTGTCAAAACCGTTTTTCACTCACATATTACAAAATAATCGTTTTTTTATTGATTTCTTTTTGGATTTTTTTGCTTCAACTTTTAACCAATTCATCAATGGCCATCAGGAATACATTGTACCTGAATTCTGCCTTTAAAATGTCACTTTGTATGATGAGTAAGGAATTTGCATAATAATTGAGTTACAATAGAATGACTCATCTCCAGATACATTTTAATATGCAATGAAAGCTTATGCTCAAAGGTTTCACATATCAAACTCATTTTGAAATCAATATTTGATTTCATATTTTTTGATACAGCCTTTGCAATTTTGAACTATAAATAATTTCTAAACATAACCTCATTTTTCATTCATATTTTAATGCATAACTATCACTTTTGAGAAATTACGTAATTCACATCTTTTCACACTAAATGGAGCTTGATCATCTGTTTAAACACTTGAGTTTTAACAAGATTACTGATGAATACCAACAAGTTCTGGAATTTGATAAATTTTTTTCTTCAAAATATATTATTTTGCCTAATTCTGCATTTTAATAGAAAGTAGTAACTACATTATGATTATTTCTTCATAGAATTATGCAAATTGATTCGAATCTCTCTTTAAAAGACGATAAGTAAATCTATCAAATTTTGAGTATAACTCTACGTTGCAATTCGAAGGAAAAAAAAGTTTTTAGCAACTCTTATTATCAGATCTATTTCTGCAACAATTACAGAAGCGGATCTTCCCTATTGCGATAAAACCGAGATCGTTGATCATTATCAATCAAGGATTATCCAGAAAAGAATATGGAATAATTACACGTATTGTATCAAAACCGTAGCAGCTAACGGCTATGATGGTACAGATTTAGCATTAGTATTTAATGAACTCAGTGATGCCAAAGTATCAATGTATTTAAAGGGAATTAATCAAGATACTTATACTCTCTACGAAATGCCTGAAAATCGAAATGCAGGAGCATATTTCCACAAGAACTCAGGTCTTATAACATTTAAGTCAGATAAAGAAGTATTGATTAGCGTAGGTTTTACCACATTTCAAGGATCATGCGAAGAAAGACTTATAACAAACGATCACAGATTTTCTAGAAATGTGAAGAGTGATACTAAAAAGGTGTATTGCATATTCAATTCTCTTCCAGGAACTCAACGCTACAGATTATATTCGAATTCCTCTTACATTGATTTCAATGCTCTTTTATACCCAAGATATCCAGAATATAGGGATGTCTATTGGCACCAATATGATTTTCTTCTTGAACATTCTTCTGCAATATTTATTCAATATTATGTTTCACACTATTACCGCAAAGCCACAGCTTATATTAAAATAAATGGAGATAAATACTCCAAACATTACTGCTATGAATGGGTAAACAATTTGAGCGAACCTCAGTTCTTGACGCCTAGTACCTATTTAGGTATATCCGTTGGCGCAATTGTTGGTATAATTTTCGGAGCGATAATAGGTGTAGGAGCAATCATCTTTTTGATAGTTTTCTTAGCCAAAGACCGATATCTTAGAGATAGTTTAATCAGTTGGTTCTTCGCTCCATGCCAGTGCGATTGTGAGAAACCAACTGGATTCGATACAATCGTCGAATATTCTTACTCCGAATAATTTTATAACTTTTTTTTCCCCTGTTTTTTTTATTTGCCCAATTTCGTAAATAATAACTTATATCAAATTGATTTAAAGTTTGCCATTCAAAATAAAGGTTATGCAACAAAAAACATATAAAAATTCATAAACTTCGCTTCCAATTCGATAATTGACCAGAAAGTTTCTCTCAATTTTATGGAGAGGATACGTAATGGGATTTTAACCATGAAAATGAGTTTAATATTTTTTTTTCCTAAGAAATGTATATTTTCATGTTTTCTCTATGAACACATGGTATTAGATTGACTTTTAACGAGTAAGATTAATATTACTTTTCAAAGGTACATTCACTAGGCGATAACAGTAAAATGGGATGAAAATAGGATAAATAGCATCCCTATATAGTGCCTAACAATATTTATACGGGCCAAAAAAATTTGGCTAGAGATTTGGCTAGTTATAAAAGTTAGAAAATTGAGAGGGATTTTTATTTTTGAATTTTTTTTGGAAAGTTAAAATTGCGATTAAAAATCGATTTCCAGGAGAAACTAAGCATCTCATCATATATTTAAATCGATAAAAATATTAAATAATAGTTGAATAGTATAACAACGTGAAATTATGCTGAATCTACAGAAAAAATGAACATATTTTGACATTTTTGAAAATTCATACGTTAGATGGTGACAGACTCATAAACATACTTTAGCTAAGATTGATATATGGTTTCAACAACACATGGTTAAATCGTAAAAAAATATTTTAGATTTCAAAAAGATATATATGGTAATATAATGGAACAAAGTCAACAAATAGCATGTTAAATATGTTATAATTAACTTTTTATTAGATCCAATAGTAGATATCGAATAGTTTCCAGCTTTATGGTTAAATATTTTCTTTTCGAGCTTCTCTTTAACTGTTGTATTAAGGTTGTAAATTTTTGATGCTAGAAACTATGGAATCTTCTTTGCTGCTGCATTTTTCTTGAGAGTTCTTGCAATTTCGAATAGATCTGCGCATTGTATGAAATTGGGGCTTTAAAATATCTTGAAAACAGAATAGGACTGCTTTTCCAAAGGAATGCTTACTTGTAAATCAGAGAGTTTCAAAATTGAGAGCAAGATTATCATCATAACTTTCGATTTTGCTGCGAAAAAGGAAGACAAGTAATTAACAAATCATTTACTGTTGTTCATTAAAAGAAGAAAACTTTGATAACAACTAATGATGATAAAATCAAGCTATCTTTTAATATTTTAAATTGATAAGACATTCAAAATATTTGAATGGTTTAAAATATTTTCTTTTAATTTCTATAAGATATTATCATGATTATATAATAAAATTTAAATTTTTATTCAAAAGGCAATATTTCAAACTTTTAATTTCAAAAATCTTAATTCTGCAATAAGTGTATTTAATTGTAGCAAATTTAATGATCCTTCGTCATGCTTAGCAATTTGGAACTCATAAATTAATGATTTCTTCAAGTAAAATTCTGCATTATTTCAAAAGTCAATAATTCTCTAGTAACTTTTCTTCAAACCCTAACCATTATATTATATGTATAATGGAGAATAATTGCAAAGAAAGATAGCCGAATTTACTGGGTAGTTCTTGTGATGCGAAATAATTGCAAATTAACACATAGTTTTAACAGCATCAATCTCTTTTTGCTCTCATTTAAATGCATTCGCACACTTTAATTTTGAAATATAAGAGTTTTGGAAATTATCAAATTTATCTGCTCAAATACTATAGATCTTCATAAGTGTTAATAGAATTACAAGGCTTACATATAGTGTTTAATATAATGATGCACATTATACTGGGATTCATTCCTTATTCATCTAGTTATTATAAGATTTACAACCCCATGAAAATTTAAAATTTTGTCAAAAATAGTGAATGTACCTTTTACTTTTCCAAATAAAAAGAATTATTTTATTATATTTTCCAAAAAATGATTTCAATGCAAATTACCATACAAAAAATCATTCCAAAAGCTTAAACAAGGATTTAAATACTCAATTTTGTAAATAATAATCTAAACTCAAATAAAAAAGATTTGACTTATATCTTGAACAGTAAAAGTATTTCTTTGTATGGCAAGATTGCAATTTTCAAATGTAACTCTAATAAAATAATTTAATTTGTTACCTGGAACAATTATCGAAAGCCACGAGACATCCGACAATCAAATCCGGTTTGTTGAACGTCTTTAGCAAATATGGCGTTAGGACCACCCAACGTCTTTAGCCAAAACAAATATCAACCGAAGTTGATATATGGCCGTCAAAAAGGGGTAAAAATATTACTCGAAGGGTAATTTTTACGAAATATGCTGATTTAATGTAGAACACTTCTTTATAACATACTGATGCTATTATCCAAACAAAAACGAATTTTAACGATATTCATTAACAAAACTCAGATTCGTGTTTCGGATAATTAATCACACGTTCGATTCATATAGTATTTTATTAAATAAGGCCAAATTTAATATTAATTAGGCAAAATCAAGACTAATTTCAAAATCCCGATTTCTCTTGAATTTTTTTAAACGAAATTTCAGAAATTATTATTGTATACATATTATAATGCTTAATTTTCAGACCAAATGTCAATTAAATTTTGAAAATCTCTTATCCACCTAAAGATAAAAATTAGTTCAATATCACTAAATGAACATTATTTGCAGAAGGAAAAAAGTTTACACACGAAATTGAATGCTGATAAATCAAAATATTCTCAAAACTTTCCGGTTATTTTCTGAAATTTTGTCAAAAGTTAAATGACTCACCGAATTGATTTACTTTTACCGAATGGGCGTACATTCTTTCTTCCTTTAGATCAGGATCTGAAAGGATGCGCTGTTCGCGACTTTTTAATGCATTTTGAACTCCAAAATTACGTATTTTGCAGAAATTCGCCCGTCCAAAACCAATTTGATATTCTTTATTCATCAGATACCGACAAAATCAAGGTCTCAGAGAATATTACTACAGATTTTATCGAGGCCCCTCTCACTTCTTTCTTTGTTTCTGATAGAAATGTTACATCCAAGCAACAAAGAATGCCTTTATTTGTTTTTGATATCGATGAGTTTATTGAGCAGAACGCAGTATTGTCGGCATCGATTCCGTTAACCAATTTTACTCGAAAACACCAAAGAGTTATTTTGAATGTCAAATTACCAACAGACTTATGCATCAACATCGAAGCAAAAATTTCAAAGACAGTATCTTCTATTCAGAAGCAAGTTTACGAGCAGCTTGCTTCCATTTATGGCCAAGATGCTGTTAGAGAGTCGAAAGCTTACCGCCTTGGCACAATGAAAGGCGAATATCCATCCCACAAGCTGAAACTTTCCGAGTCCCCTGAAATGATGACAGCAATCAAGCTCCAACAACAAGATATTACTAAACCACAATTTGTTATGATGCAAATCTCAGCAGAAACAGAATTTTCCAAGGCTGCTAAGCAATACATTAGTGATCTTGAGCTCAAAAATATTATCCAAACATCAGAAGTCTTAACATTCAATTCATCATTTTCCGAACTCCGTAAAGAGGTTGAATCCGCCAGAACATCTCGCTTAGAACAGGATCCATTACTTGCTCGCATGCGTCTTAACGCCAGCGATCCACCATTAACCACTTGCAGGAAAAAGAATGTTCCTATCAAAGTTGATACTCGTTATGTTGCATTATCTGGTGAAGCAACAGCTATTTCCTTAGCTATACAATTCGATACTACAGCATCTCAAGCCATTCGTGATCTTTTTGCTAAAATGCAAGAACATCAAGGTATTGGCAAAGATTTGAACCCAGACAACTACGCTTTGACCCTTCAAGGCACCGATGAAGTTGTTGCTGGTAATTTCCCTATCAAAGAGTTCGTTTGTGTCAGACAATTTTTGTTATCTGTTACTCCCTTCATGAATTTCCTTCTTGTAGACAAGAATCAGCTCATAGATCAGATCAAGTCCAAGGAGCTCTCATATTCTGCACTTCCCGAGCCAACTCCCGAGCAGCAATACAAACCAATTATTCTCAAAGAAATTGAGAAGCCATCTTTCGATATTATGGGTGGTTTCCCGCATTCTATTGCCAAAGAGAACTTCTCCATCTTCATTGGAGGCTGTTTTAACATTCCTCCATCTTTGGCCGCATCTATTTACATGATCCGTGCCGTCATAATTCACGGATCAAACGAACTCGGAGCACCAGTGATGACAAGACCAGCGCTAGGCGGAACAAGCGTTTCCTGGAACGAGATGTTGACAGTTTCCCTCCAAATCCAACAGCTTCCAAGGTCAGCGAGAGTTGCAATCACTCTCTACAACTACGAGAAGATTGGTTCAAAAGGAAGCGCTATTGCCACTATTAATATTCCAGTTTTTAATTTCGACGGCTGGTACAACTCCGGAGTCAACTTCCGCTCTATGTGGAATGGCAAGGACACAGATCCTCTCATCACAACTTGCCAATGCGAAGATGACGACGCCACCCGCATTTTGTTCGAAATTCCACAATATATCTTCCCAATTGCACATTTGAGTCCTCCTCCACAGCAATCAAGACAAGTCGGGTCATCAATGAGAGTCACAGCCCAACAAAAGGTCGCTGTCGACAATTTGAGAAAGAAAGTTTTCGATCCACTCAAAAAACTGACAATGGAAGAAAAGAACTTGATTTATCGTTACAGACATGATTTGTACGACATGTCATCTTTCCTTCCATTAGTTCTCAGCTCCATTGATTACACAGTTCCGACACAAGCGCACGAAATCGCTGGATTACTCCAACAATGGGAGAAACCGAAACCTGCAGAGGCATTGAGTCTTTTGGATTCAGAATTCGCTGATCAACGCGTTAGAGCATATGCTGTTGAATGTTTGGAGTCATTGTCTGATGATGAAATCATGCTTTACATGTTGCAATTAGTACAAGCATTGAAATACGAGATGTACGATGATTCTCCACTTTGTAGATTTTTGTTTAGAAGAGGTTTGGCAGAACCGAAATTTCTTGGTCACCAGCTCTTCTGGCAATTGATCTCTGAAGCTCACATCTCTCACATCAGACGTAGATTCTCTAGTTTCGTCGTAAACTTCTTGTACGGATCAGGAATTTACAGAGATGAACTGATCAAAGGTTACAAATTCACTCAAGAACTCGTCCAGCTGAATCACAAACTCTGCAAATTGTCACACACAGAAGCAACTGAACCTTTCAGAGAGGCACTCAAGAATTTTGACCTGCCAAACGAATTCCATCTGCCTATGGATCCAAGATTGGTCGTTGATGCTTTTATCGTTGAAAAATGTAAAGTTATGAATTCAAAGAAAAAACCGTTTTGGCTAACATTCCACAATGCCGCTCCATTTTCAACGGAACCCATCCGTGTTTTGTTCAAAGTTGGTGATGACTTGAGACAAGACCAATTAACACTACAAGTCATGCGTGTCATGGAGTATCTTTGGAGAAAGGAAGGAATAGATTTACACATGAGATGTTATGGTGTTTTGCCAACAGGTTTCAACCAAGGATTCATCGAAGTTGTTCCTAACGCTATCACAGAACAAGCTCTTCAACAAGAGAAAGGAACATTCGCGGGTGTTTGGGATAATAACACATTGACTGATTATTTATACAAAGTCAATACAACAGAACAAAACCAACAACTCGCGAGAGAGAATTTCATGTATTCATCTGCCGGTTACGCTGTTGCAACATGTGTTTTGGGTATCGCTGATAGACATCCAGGAAATATCATGTTGCAAACTGATGGCCACTTTTTACATATTGATTTTGGCCACTTTTTGGGCAATTTCAAGACAAAATTGGGCTATCAGAGAGAGAATGCTCCATTCCACTTCTCTCCTGCATGCGCAAATGTTCTTGGAGATGTAAATGGAGAGATGTTCAAGCAGTTCAGGAAATTATGTGGAGATGCATTGAACATTCTCAGACATAACTCAAAACTCCTCGTAACACTGTTGATGCTCATGCTTGGAACAGGAATTCCTGAGTTGCAAAAGGCAGAAGATATCAGATACATGACTGATATGATGTTCTTGGATAAGACTGACTCTGAAGCTAAAATTGAGTTCGACAAACTCACTGATATGTCTCTTGATTCAACAAGAACCAAACTTAATAACTTATTCCACAATATCGCAGTTTCAGACTAAAAAAATTTTAGATATATTTTAAATTTAAGTCTATATTTAAAATTTCGAATTTTTTTTATTGAGCTTGAAAATTAATTACATTCAAAAAAAAATCCAAGAATGATAGAATGCTATTGTAATTCATACTTAAGCATATTCTATCATTTTAGGACAGTTTTTATTGGATTTTCTAGGTCATCAGGATCACAACGTAACGTCTTTCAATACATCCATCCGTTTGCTAGTTGAGTTTAGTGCAAAGATTTTCATAAAACTAATTCACATATATCATCTCATCGTCGTTAATAAAGTTTCTATTTCTCATTAATGAGCTAAAGGAGTTTGTTTAGATTTCTGTTTTTTTTTTATACCAAGATTTAATATCTCCAATTTTATCAAGTTTATGCCAGAAATGTACTTAAAAACTCATAAAGATAATATTTATTAAGTATTTTGCAAATGTAGTGTAAATGACAAAATGAGATTTAAAATGATAAGTCTTCATCTCCATCATGTTCAATTTCTGGAGGCGTTATTTCAGATGGTATTTGTCCATTTTTATCTGCAATATTTGCATCAGCGCCATTGTCAATGAGTTTTTGTATCATCTCATCTGATTTAATATAATATGCATGATGTAAAGGAGTCCAACCATTAACATTTATAGCATTAATGTCTGCCCCATGAGAAATTAAAGTTGAAACAATATCAAGACTGTTGCTTTTTGCAGCAAAATGAAGAGGCGTTTCTTGATTTCCATCTTTTAGATTTGGATTTGCTCCGCAATTAAGTAAAATCTCTGCAGACATGACATAATTATTAATTGCTGCATCTGAAAGAGGTGAAAAAGCATTTCCATCAATATCTGCTTGATTTTCAATTAAAATTCTGACAGAATTTACAGAGTTCTTTTCTGCTGCATAATTAAGAGGTGTTTTATTAATGTAATCAAGTGAATTAACATCAGCACCATGCTTAATAAGAATTTGCACAATTTCTTGATAATCAAAACTTGCCGCAATGTGAAGGTATACTTGTAACTATTGTTATATGTTTTGGATAAATTGATATGTCCTCTGGTATTATTGATTTATTATCAAATATTAAAGTTCCATCTAAACACTTGATTTTAGGATGTAAAGAAATTGTGTCAGATATCATGGTTTCAATAGTAATCTCGGGAATATATATATCGGGATATGAAATGTTGAAAAAACTTAACGATGAAAGTTTAGTTTCACTGTCAATTCTTCCAAAACAAATATTATTCAATATGTAATGACTGTTTGTTTGTTCTGAACCATGAATCAAATGAACATTGTTATGGTTATCACCAAAAACAGAAACTGTGTAATTTGTGTTTGAATTTGATAAATTATCATATAGAACAAATGGACTGTCTTCATCATTGAAAATATAAATAGAAATATTTTCATTCAATGAACTGATTTCAGATGTTGAATTAATTTTCTTTGATCCAATTGGGCATTCCTTGGTAGAATTCCCTAAGTAACAAAATTCCTCTGAAGAAATGAGTCTTAGAAAGGCAGGTAAGAGCATCAATAATCTTGCTGGATAATGATTTTTATGACGATAATTTTTTATAGAAATTTCTGACAAAATCAATCTAAGAAAACATGATTAATGAAATGATTTAAGTCCATTTTTTAATTCAATTTTTCAGCTTTTGATCTGAAATTTGCTCTCAATCTCATAAAATGGTAAACAATATTGAAAACATTATCATTTTATATCCTCAATCAATCCAACGTCTAATACTTTTTATTGTATTATCTATTTGAGTTTTGTTTTCTTTCACCTTTAACTCGTTTAAATACCAATTTAAAATCGTATTGTTCTGAGAATTAATTAATTAATTAAAGCAAAATCCGAAATTTATTACAAAATAATATTATCCCTATGGGAACTATGAATTTTTTGCATATTATTTAATTAAATCGGATTTTTGTCGATATTTTGAGAATTTTGTTTATAACATAGGCATACACCATCCCCCAAATCAATAGATATAGTATTACTATTCTTTTATTGATATTAATACAATTTCAGCATATTATTATTTAATACTAATTCAAGAAATTTGTTAAACATTATTCAATTTCAATTAACAAAAAATCATTTATTTTTCGACTCTCCAGATGATATTTGGAGAGAATACTACGGTGACACAAATTCTCTTACAAAATATCGAATCGATGAAAATATTACATTTACGGACCATATATTAGTTTTTCATGTTTACTTTATCAATCTAGATGATCCCGTTCTCAACATTAGCGAAAATCCGAACAATAAAGTTTTTGTTTATAATACTATTTTTGACACGATTCAAAATGGAGAAAATTATCAATCAGGATGTGTTTATCAAGAAAAAGGTCAATGTGTCCAGTATAAAATCTGTAATATCAATTTAATTACAAGTTTTACATCATATATGAGCATGAAAACTACAATTTCTTGATTGATATATCTGATTGTGGAACCGACATAATACCAGAACATTATGGTGGAAATATTTCTGTTCAAAACACCAATATATCAAATCAAGAATCAATAGGTTATCCTGCAGGTTATGTATTTCGATATTCCGATACCGGCTTAATTTCTTTTTGTAGGTTTGTCAATAATACATCAGAAGTGTCAGCCTGTCTTTTAAATTATGCATTTGAAGGAATAATACATCATACTATTATATGCAATAATAAATGTTACAACTCCACTGATAATGACGTAAGCGGAATAATTTGCTGTTTATACACTTCTGTTAATATAACATCCTGTTCAATAATTGATAATGCATGAAGTTATTTATTTCATCTGGAATATTCAATAATGATTGTTGAATCATGCTTCATAAATATTAGTGCTGAAAACAACAAACACATATCTTCAGTTATATTTAGCAGTTTAAAACTTATTAAATATTCATTTATTTTGCCAGAATCTAATTAAAAAACTCAATGCTTTCCCTTCAAAATATAATCATTTTTCCCCACATATTTATTTGTTCTATAGATATCATTTAATCCAGTTGAGCAATCTTGGAAATTCATTTGTATACTCTGTTAATTTTGGTGAGGGAATCTTTCCATAAAAGATAATGATGGAAAAACTGCACTTGAGTTGACAGGAAAACAAAATTCATAACAAACAACAAATTATTTTATTCATGATTGTAAATATAGTAATTTGATAGCTTGAAAAGTTTGAATTTCTGAGTTTCGCCTCCCTTATTAGAAAATCTGTCATACAAAACGTTCCAATCATGCATCTGTCCTCAAATATAATAGTATTAATGTGTACATTCTCATTTTCTCATTAAACTTTGATTTAGAGGAAATATTTTTACACATTTAGGATAAAAACCAATATTCCAATATAAAACTTGCATATTATGTTACAAAAAATATAAATACAGAATTTAATTATCCTTGATTGCTAAAATGTAAAGTTTTGAGAAGGAAACTTTTGAATGGAAATTACAAAAAAATGACTCGATTTGATTTATATGCTCCGGGAAACAAACCAGTGTCTTTCACTCAGTTTGAGAAAGAAACTATAGAGTCTGCTTTCCCATCTGGTGAAGCTCCAATTCATTTTGCCTTCAGAACAGACATTCGAGTCAAAAAAGAAACTCATCGTAACGATATTTGTGCTGTTTCACCACATTTCATTGCGTGTTTCAAACAGAAGACATATGGAGAAAAGCCAGAACTCTATTATAAGCTTCACATATCCAAAATTCAGCTTATGTGTTATGCGGATGATCCGTTTGTATTCATTAAGACAGAGGAAGATAAACTAACAGTCACAGGACATCAGTGTCTTACGTTTGCACAAATTGTATATCGTAATTACCTCATATCTTTTCCTACAAAAACTCAAGATGAAATTTTCGAACTTCGTACATCGGATATTTCGCTATTTCCATTAATAAAACTTCCAATATCACTCTCCCAAACATTCCAATTTGCTTATTCTTCATTTGCTGCTGAACAAGAAGTTCCTTATCGTCAAGAAGTTGTTAGATACGTTCATAACATGATTGTAACAAAGAACCCAATTCTGGATCTTTCACAGTTACCAGCAGATCTCTTTGTAGACACAGGAAAGAAATCTGCTTTTGATCCAGTGTTTGACGCTTTACATCTTACAAAAATAGGTCCAGGAATATGTTGTGTGAACCAATCGAGACCGAAATTACTCTCTTCTCTTGCCGATTCTGTTGATAAAGGCTTACAATTTAATATTATTCATTTAGACAATTGTGGCATTATCGATGGCATGCAGCAACTCAAAGAAGCCATATTCAAGAAGGAAGATTTCCCTTGTTTGTACTGGAATTTAAATAATAACAAAATTAAGGGTTGGAATTACTTTTGTGAGATCCTTTCGAAGCAGAAGTCACCACTTAAGCATTTATCACTCTCAAATTGCGGTTTGACGTCAAAAGATTTAATTCTTTTGTTTAATACTTTATCTCAGAACAATAACCTCTGGGAACTACGCGATATATGCTTAGCAGGAACAACCTTTGATCCTAAATCAATGTCTGCTATCAGAGAATTCATTAAAGTTTTATCTGACAATAATACAATGAAAATCGTTAGTTTAGACTTATCCCATGGTCAGAAAATTAATAATTTTATGCAAATTCTCGCTTCCTCGCCAAACGGATTAAGAGATTTGAACATTTCAAATTGTATTTTAGATAAAAATTCACAAGAAGCTCTGATAACCATAGTTGATAACTCAAAGACACTCAAGAGACTTGACATCAGCTATTCGCATGTCTCCCCTGAGTTTGTTGCGAGATTAATCGTTTCATTTTCCAAAAACATCGATTTGAAGCTGATTGAACTCAATTTGAGCGGTCTACAATTGAATGGAACCAAACTTATACCAGTTATTACGGCTCTACTCAACAGCGACGAAGAAAAATTCGATTCAATTTTATTTAATGAGGAAAACATGACTTCAGAAGATGTTAAGAACCTTATTCCTGTACTGAAAGACTTTGTAAACCTAAGGTACGTCTCTTTCTCCAATAATTTCAATGAAAAAATGGTCGGTGTCGGAAATCTTCTCGGAGACCTTCTTAGTTTGCCAAATCTTAAGAGAATTGATATCTCCGGATCACAGGAATTCAGTATGAAGCAAGAACTGGTTCCTTTCCTTAGAAAAGCTTCAAAAGCCGGTCTGGAGCATTTAGACATCACCGGACAAGCAATTGGAGACAAGGATTACAGTACAATTGCTCAGTTCGTCAGGCAATGCACAAATCTTCAAACTCTTAAATTTGATAATAATAACGTTACATCTGTTGAATTACTGTTAGATTTAGTAGCCGCTCTTAACGCTAATAAGTCAGTTATACTCGCTTACTTCCCTACTAACGATGCAAGGGCAATTGTTCAAAAAGCGAAATCAAATCAGAAATCTAACTTGGCACAGAGGCTTGGCGACATCCAGATCAGTCTTATGCAGTATATAAATGAGCATAGATACAAAAAGAAGCTTGGAAGCGTATTACCTTTCGAGTCTACACCAGAAATTTCGGAAATTATCCAAGAAATCACCGAAAACTACGTCAAAATGCTTGAAAACTATCCAGAATTAAGAACACACTCAGCTGTCTGCAAAGAGCTCAATCTTCCTCTTCCTTTCCAAAGAATTGGCGATGTTGTTGAAGATGGTGGCCAAATCCATCAAAACTCTATCGGCGATTTGACAGTTTACATGACAGAATCCATGAAATTTACAATTCAAGAGGAAGTAACTAATTACGAGACATTTGCATTCACAACAGCCAATCCAAACTTCATATCTGTTGTAGAGGAACACAACCCAGAGCCCGGAAGAGTCTCTTTCGTCACAAAAGAGAGAGATCTCAAGGAAGAAGAGGAAATTAAAGAGGAAGAACCAAAAGAAAAGGTCAAAAGACCAAAGAAGAAGATCAACTACTATGAGGATGATGATTCCGATGACGAAGAGAAGCTAATTAAGTTTGAAAAAAGAAGATATAAAGAAGAAGTAGATAGTGATGACGAAAAACTTCCTCAATTCACTAAAAAGAGAGATTATAATGATATAGATGATGAAGGAAAGAGAAAGAGACTCTATGGTGCTTTGCCTCAGCCAAAGAAAGAAAAAAGAAGATTTGATAACGAAAATAGAAAGCAGAGAAGACCATTTGACACAATAAATGATAATGATGACGAAAGTGAGGAAGAAGAACTACCAAAGAAGGCTTCAAAGAGAAAATTAAAAATTTCTGATTCAGATTCTGAAGAAGAACCTCCAAAACCAAAGCAGAAGAGCGAAGAAAGTGACAAAAAGAAGAAAAACTCAAAGAGAAAGCTCCAATTATCTGATTCTGAAGAGGAAGAAGTTAAAAAACCTTCAAAACGTAAAAAACCTGTTGTAAAGGATTCTGAATCGGAAGATGATGAACCAAAGAAACCGTCGAAGAGAAAGAAACCTATTCTGAGTGATTCTGAAGATGATGACGAAATTCCTCAGAAAAAATCATCAAATTCTAAGAAATCTAATGGTTTCAAGCCATCAGAGATGCCAATAATACCAATAGATATTCCAGAACATGAATCTTTTGCGGATCTCGCTGAAGAATCAGATGATGACAAAATTGTCAAACCAATGAAGAACAAGAAGTCATCATCTGCTTCAAATAAGAAGAACTTTAAGTGGTCTGATGATTCTGATAGCGAAGAACCAGTTCCAAAGAAGAAATCAAAGAGAAATCCAGAACTTGATGATACTCCTATTCCTACACAATATCTTGCCCATAAAAAGAAAGGAAAGAAATGAAATCCTATCGTTTTAATTCATTTTGTTTATAATTTGTTATTTTTTGAGTAAAATTTATTTTAAATCGATTCAAAACTCTTTAATCAACGTAAATCAATAAGATCAAGATAGAAATATTAAGCTTGAGCAATATAAATTTACTCAATCAAGAATTATTTTTAAAATTTATTTCTTTTTATGATTTTTCCATTCATTAAATAAAGTATAAACTTGGGCTCAAGCAAAGAAGTCGATATTTAGGTATTTCAAATCTCAACGCTAGATTTCAGAACTCATATATGAAAAAAATAAAGTTTAGTAACAATTATCACAAAAAAGACCAAACGACTTTGCTCATATTTTATGCATATTATATTATAATCCGTAATTTGTAAAGATAAAACGAAAATTTATGAAAATTTTTATATTTTTATACGGAATTAGTAGAATTCAGTAATTGATTTTTTCTTGACTTCATATATGGTGAATAGATATGTAATAAGAGTTCAAAAATTCAATGATTATATAAAATATATGAAAGTAATTCGGAAATTATATCGCAATATTAAAGGAATGTAGTAAGATTTCGAACATATTTGTTGAAGTTGATGATTTAAAAAACTATTTGCTACATTTATTTTATCTTTGCAAGTTATAAAATTTAATTTCATTATTTTTATCGATAAGCATGTTGTTTGCGAAGTTTAGCGTAATTGCGGAATGCTGTTTTCAACAATTAACATAATATCTTTTCGAAAATAACATTATTTATATATTTTTTGTTATAAAATTGATTTAATGTCGATTTGTCCGAAAGATTTGCCGGGAATTATCTGTACAATAGACTGCTAATTAGATATTTCTTATGGTTCCTGTCAGATATAAATTCTGACCAACCAAAAAGGCATGAAAATCTTCGTCCATTTGAAAAAGTGACTAAAATGCCGAATGATTCATCGAATTCTAGGAAAGGCAAAAGCAATTTTGCCCCCAAAACCGGATATACCCACAAAAATCAACAGATTGACTTCGTTGATGAATACAGTTTTGCCCAAACACAGCTAGATTCTCAAGATTTACTCAAAGTTAATACATTCATTGCATGCTTCAATGCAGGAGAACGCATATCCATGTCTTCTAGGGTCAGCAATTTCAGTATTAGCACTTTTGGCTCATTTTGCGAGATATTAATAACGAAAAAAATTTACGGACCGTTTTTATTGATTCTTCCACCAGAATTAGTAAAAATGTGGTTTGATGCTATATCTCAAAGCAAAATCATTACAACAGTTCTCTATAACGCTCCTCCTGAAAAAAGAAATCAAATTTCGAATGACTTCTACAAAAAGGATGGCTCTTATACATTCCATCTCTTAATAACTACCTCTGACATTTATCGTGAGGATATCAACAAATTTAAATCCATGAATTTTGCGTTTTCATTGATTAACAGGAATGATGACCAACAACAGATAGAAGTCAATTCACATTCGATCATATTTAACCAATTCGAGTCATTCGGGCGATATACAATCGAAACTCATAAAATGATCTCCACAATTAACAGATTGACACTTCCATCTGAAGAAAAAGATAAAATATACTTCGTACAGAAGCAGTTTCAGCTTTTCTTTCCTTCTTACGATACAGAAAATTTATTATTGGAATCTCCAACGATAAAATACGTAAATTGTCCACTTACTCAAACCCAAAGAATGAGTATCAAAAATTTACTCTATCAGCATACAAATGATATCAAAGGAAACAATTTTAAGATTTTACGTCGAGAAATTGAAAGAGTTTGCCATCATCCTTACTTAATCTTTGGTAATGAACTCACATATAAGGAAAATATCATCGAAGCTTCGTCAAAAATCCAAACTCTTAACGAAATAATTGCAAATCATCATTCTCACGTTTTAATCGTCTCAGATTACATTAAAATGCTTGACATTGTCGAAGATTTTCTTTTGACAACAGATCATGCATATACTCGTGATAAATTTTCGAATGGAATTATTTTAATGCACATTCGCGACTTTTCTTTACAAGAAATGATTGAGAAATCAGAAACAATCATTTTTACAGATGTTTTCGTTGACGGAATCAAAGGAAACAAGCATTTGATCAGGCTAACATGCGATGATTTAACAGAATCAAATTGGGAACACATAAAAGATGAACAACTTTGCAAGTTTGCTTCTATCAAAGCTTTTATTAACATTGATTCCAAATCTAGCTTCACAGAGACCTCTCAACCGACAGAATTATCTGATTCGTTCTTATCCTTAGCCGAAATGGACAATTTCTGGGAAATTTTCTTAGAATCAGATTTAAACGACGAGAATACAGCAGAAGAACACCAACCAATCAAAAAATTGTCGATCAGACAGAGAAACCAATTTATTCGCTGCATTTTCAATTTCTATTGGAACAGATGGGAGTATGTCAGGAAATATACAGGATTAAACCTAAGCGATGATGATCTCCGAACTGTGGCTGATATAATAATTCGTAAGATTTATAATTTGTCACAACACCAAGGCAATTACTTCGCAGTTAGTGATATACTACGTAATGAAGCAACCGATGAGAGTTTAATCGACTTTGATGACAAAATTATTCCTTATTTAAGGTCGAACGCCGATAACTTCTTAAACCGACTCCAAATCCTTAGGTTCTTTGAAATAGCTTCTAAAGCTGAGATTACAACAGAGTTCCAAATCCCAGATGACATGAAAGAGGTTTGGTGGACAAAAGATCACAGTATGGCCATGGTCAAATTCGTTGCTAACCACGGATTTTCAGAATTTGATGATATTGATCTGGAAAATACTGATATTTATAATTATATCTCAGAAAATATCACAACAATCAAAGATGTAATAGATTTTGTTGTTCTCAATACAGACCAGGCATCTAAAATATGCGAAACACCATATGTTGTCGAGTATTTCTTCGTTAATGATGAATTTAAATCAAAATGGAACAAAGAAGACATTACGAAAGTCGTTAAGTTCCTATTCAATCATGGAATACCTATTGATAAAGATGGCTCGGAAGATTATAACGCTTTTCATGAAAAATTGAAGATTGAAAACAAATCTGCTGAAGATATTCAAGCGATTGTTAAGAATATGATTGATAATGCAACTGCAAAGAGCAACATCGAAATCTTCCATGACCACACTGAAGATTTCATTGAACATATCACAACAATGAAAGAGTTGCATTTCATCATTAATGGAAGAACTGATGAAGAAATATTGTTTATTCTGCATAGAACAAAGAAATGGTCCCAATTACCCAAGTTATTCAATTCTCAGATTGAAATGAAGTTCTTTAAGTTGCTTTTCCAAGGCGGATTTGATGCTTTACCAGAGATTTCCAGAGATCCAGATATTTTGGCCGCATTTGGTAAGACAAAACCATCAGCTCTCACTAAATTTACAAAAGTCTCTGCAAGAATCCACTTAATTGCAGGATCAATAAGACTCGGAAAGGAAATAACGGAAGATGTTGTCAACCAATATATCAAACGAAGCAGAAAAGGAACAAGTGACGATCAGAATTCAGCTCAAGAGCCAAATAGTTCTCCCAAACCGAAATCAAGATCAAAACCAAAGCCAAAACCAGAAGATAAGCCTCAAGAGCAACAAAAGGAGGAAGAAAAACAAAATCAATCAGATGATCACTCTCCAAAGCCGAATCAACAACAAAAATCATCAGCACCATCAACTCCAAGGCCAATCAAAGGCAAGCTTCTATCAGAAGTCACATTTCCTTTCGAAATTACAGCGACCACAAAAGTATTTTCTCTCGGAACCGTTGTTTACGACCGACCAGCTTATCATACAGAACGATATATTTATCCTGTTGGCTATAAGACATCACGAGTCGGAAAATCAACAACGGAACCGAACAAAACTGTTGTTTACATCAGTGAAGTTCTTGATAACGGCGATGCTCCATTATTCAGAGTTACAACAGAAGACGGCTCTGCTAAATTCGAAGGCGCAACACCGACAGCTCCATGGTCAACCATTCTTAAGACCAGTGCCAAGTTAAACAACATTCAAGGAAGGGCTTTGGCTGTTTCTGGACCCGAAATGTATCTGTTTTCCAATCAACAAGTCTATAATTTAATGATGCAGTTACCTGATATTGACAAATGCGAAGGATTTACACGCGTTGAGATCAAACCAAGGAATTCAGGACGAAGAAAACCGAAGGAAGAGAATCCTTCAGAAGAAAAGAAAGATGAGAAAACAGATGAAAAGAAGAAGAAAGAAGAGAAACCAGAAGATAAAAAGAAGAAAGAAACGAAATCTGAAGAAAAGAAACAATCAAGTGATGATGGAAAGAGAAAGAAACAGAAGAAACAAAAATCTAGTGATTATTATGAAGAGGAAGAGTCAGAGTCTTCAACAGAAAGCGACTCTAGCGACTCAGACTTTGTAAATTAACTAATTTATGATTTTTCTAATATATAAACTCACTATTTTTCACAATATAGTTTTTCTTAATGAATAATCATGGATTTCTAATTAGGTTTATAACAATACTCGTAATAGCAATGTTGGCCATTAATTTTCTATTTCAATAATTTTTCCGTGTAAAGATTTAAATTTAATTCAATTTTTGATATTTTGGCGGGTGTAATAAAAAACTAATGCTGAAATTAACAATTATTCTTAAAATTGATAAATATAATATTAGATACATATGTTATTAATACATATCAAGTTTTAGAATGATCCGGTTCGAATTACCATGTCAAAAATTTTTACGACAAGAGATCAAGATCTTGAACATTGAAGTTATTTGTATTTATGATATAGGTGCTTAAATGTGGGTTAAAAATGCTTCAAATTGATGCGGTAAGAAAAATAATTGAGGCATAGCTGGAATCCGCAGCATTCAATCTTTATATTATTATGTATTAGTTCTGAAAGATGTAGGGAACATGATATCTAACTTTAAGATGAATAAATAATGATGTTTGCAGTTTTTGCCAGATATGGTTATTATAGGATCACATATTTGTTATAGACCGAAAATAGATTTTTTCGGTTTTCTCTTCAAATAATTGAAAGAATGATACTATTATAGGTTTATTATATTATATAGCATATAATCATGCTATAGCCGAAAATTATAAGTTTTGAGAAGATTGAATATAACACAAATAAATTTGAATGTAAGTTAAATTGCTTGTTGTTTTTAATAGCTATCTAATGCGAAATCCAATATTGCAAAATTCAAATTGAATGATTGAAAGAACAGAAAAAGTCATTCTTTTCAATTTCGAATATGTTTCATTGTATTTATAATTATATGGCAAATAAGATATTTAAACTTGATTTTTGAAGGAAAATTCACAAAATTGAATAAATTCAAATAATTTTTATTCAAAAAGAAACTAGTTATTTGAGTTTAATACTAATTATCTATTCAAACTACAAAGTTTGTAATTTAAAATATTTTGTGAGATCAGATTGAATTAATTCAAGGTTCTTTTCAATTAATATTAATGACCATATTACGCATTTTCGAACATTCTAAACCAAATATATAAAAATGGGAGACGAATGTTAAATTTGCTAGACATGGGGGAGTTGTCTCCAAAGTTTTAGCTCTTATCTCTAACAAAAAATTAATTTTTAAAAAAAAGACCGAATACGTTTCACAGCGAGAAAAAAATAAAAGGCAAGATAGAATTTTCTAGACATATAGAAGTTGTTTACCGAGTTTTAGCTCTTATCTCTAACAAAAAATTAATTTTTAAAAAAAAGACCGAATACGTTTCACAGCGAGAAAAAAATAAAAGGCAAGATAGAATTTTCTAGACATAAAGAAGTTGTCTACCAAGTGTCAGCTGTTACTTCTTCTCAATACTGATATAAAATAAAAATCTTTATTATTTATTTAACCTTTATTGTTTCATTAAACTTTATTTATTTTATATTATAGTTTTATTCTTTTAGCTACTTGTAAAATAATCTAATTTTATATCATCATTTTACCGGATTATTCTTCAGTACATCGATTGTGTATCTAAAATAATATCATTATCCTTATTCTGTTTTTTCCAAAATTCTTTTAAATATCATTTTTGGTTAGATTACTTGATACTTTTTACTTTTATTTTTTAATTTCAAAAAAAAATTTGGTGATTGTTCTATTCTGTTACAATGTGCATTATCATATTCTAATGAATTATTCATTACATACATTTAAAAAAACTTGTTAAAAATGAAATTAAAAAATTATGTTTATTATTACGCTGTGAATGTGTCAACAGCGGTCATGCCTGTATCTGTATCCCATATTTGCCACAACCTTTCTGTATCTGCATTTGTGTATTTCGGTTTCAGCTGATACATTTGATTTGGCGTGTAATTTGTTCCAGTTAATGGATTAATTGGGAGATCTTCATGCGGTGTGTTATTATTGTACTCCCAAATAAAGGCAGGAATAGCCTGAATGCTTTGGCAGCGCTCCAATGTCGGCCAGAATCTCTCAATCTTCCCATTTTGGTAGGGAGAATGAGAGTCTGTATGCCGCCATTGGACGCCCCAAAGATCAAGTAGATCTTGAAAGGCGCCCCTATTTTCTGAACCGTTGTCGGTCCAGAAACAATAAGGGGCGCCAAATTCAATGAAGGCGGAAGCCGCAACGTTCGCTGTCGTCGCTGCCAGCATATCTGGTATTTGTATACACGCTAGGACTTTGCGGCTAAAATCGTCGATTATGCCATAAATATACTGGCCACGAACACCCCTAAAATAATGAACATCTGCGTGCCAGATAAGATTGGGTGAAAGCGCCCAATATCTTACTGCTGTTTCTGGCCCGGCATGCTCTAATCGCGTCTTGGTGAAATGATTTTCTTTGAAGTATCTGCGTACTTCTCTATAGGGTTGTTAAAAATATCAAAAATTAGCGTTTTGAAGACACCATGGTGTCTTATAATTTTCCCTTCCTTATTGGCGTGTAGAAATAAATGCGCCAATAGATTGAAGAAGAAGAATTGTTTTTCTCTTAATGAACTTTAATCCTTTTGATATAAGAATATTAAAAACATTAATATAATTTCGATTTCGGAAATTAAATTTCCAAATTTTTTGTCGATTTCGGAAATAACAGGATCCCGCATCCAACACGCAACAACAAAACACAAAACACACTTTTTGGTTCTTTCATCGTTTTAATCGTAATTTATGTAATACATGATTTGGATAAATTTTACAAAAATAGAACCTATATTATATTCTTTTCAAAGATTCTTGCAAATCATCAAAAATAATTGTATTTTAAAAAACAATCAAATTATCCTTTCATTATTTTAAACTTAAATTAGTTTTTATGATTGACTAAAGCAATCATATTTATTCATCATTAAATAAACAAAAAAATAATATTTGAGAGTTATTTCAAAAAAAAAACGCATTGAATTTATTAATTTGTCTCAATTTCAGTATTATAAATTTTTATAATTTCAATATTTTGAAATACACTTTTTAATATTTCAATATTGATGATATTTCAATGTATTAAGTGGTCTCAAATTGAGCTTCTCAAATAAAGTTCGATAATATTAAATAATAAAATTAAATAATATTTAAAATAATAAATAAAAGTGATTGAGGTCATAGCAAAACGGCTGTTTCAGTCATTAATTCTTAAAAATAAAAAGGGTAAAAACTAAATAAAATGGGTAAAATTCAATAGTGTCTGTGCTATCGTTCAATTTGAAGGTGTCTTTTGAAACCGCAAGACACATTGAATTTTTGAATAGTGTATTATGGTTTGACAGACACCAATAAAAAAATAAAATGATATTTATTTTAAATATATAAGATCCTTATATAAAATATAAATATTTTATCGTTTTATTTTCTTGTTTTAGAAATGTTTTTTATTGAAAAATCAATAAAACTAACTCCAAAATAAAATTTTTGATTTAAAGACACTATGATGACACCAGGCAAATCTTCCAAGACACCTATCGTCGGGAATCTAACAACCCTACTTCTCTATAAGATACATCAATTTGTTGTAATTTCAAACGTTTCCATTGTTTTGTTTGACCACAGGGAAAGGCCCAGTGGTCATGTATCACAGCAAGAGCTTTGATTTGGTCGTAGGGATTGACCCTACGACCTTTCTTGCCTTTAGGCAATGGGATATTCTGTAAGCTAAATTGATTTTGTAAAAAAGATTTTGAAACATCTAAATATTTGAAATCATTTGATTGAAGGGTTGGGGCGATGGGAACATGGGTGCAAGCTTCTTCCCATGTCATTTTACCTTCTTCAATCTGATTGGAAATACAAATTAGGTAAATTCAATCGACATACCCTTTGTAAGGATTCATTCTAATGAAGTACGTTAACAATCAAAATATTCTATAAGTGTCTAGTATGGAATTCAAAATAATAAAGAAAATGGTAACGTAAATAAACGTATTATGAAATACCCAGATTTGCTTTACTTTTACCACTCCCCATGTAATTTCTGGGGAAAACGATAATTCATTTTTTTTATGGATGAATAGATCGTTTTCCTAGAAAGGACCTCATATCTCTGGCTAAAAAGAGTGTCAGATCCTAAATAGATTATTGATCTAGTGTACAAATCCAATAAAAAGCCTATTTTTTTGGCTTTTTTGGTGCTCATTTTTTCGAAGATCTACATGAATATGGGGAAACCATCGGATTTTTTTGGTTAACCCACATCTTCATGTAGTCTGGACTATCTTTCCTCGAAGGACCTCTTTACGGGTGTAAAAACTCATAAAGTTCTCAAAAGATTCATTCTCGATCTCCATGCTGAAAGAATTTACAATAAAAAAGAGATCTACGCATCAAACTACAGCCATAAATGAACTGAACCCCTAAAGCTCAGCTCTTAGTTTATCAAAAACGTCGAAATCCTTCTCATTGCAAGTTAGTATACATATCTTGTGTACGGAGGCACTGCGAGCCTCCTTACCCATGATATGTGAATTTAACACTTTACAAAACCGTTAACGTATATTTTACAACACAAACGACAACACTAACTTAACCTTAAATATTTACAAAGCCGCCAACCACTTCACTTCACTACTGTAAAAAATAAACGTTCTCACTTACAAAAGTATTGCAACTCTTCCCATTGCTGTGCTTCACACAATAGTTCATATTCTTCAGTATCGCTGCTGTCGCTCCAATCGTCAGAGTCAAAGTCACTGTCAAAATGAATGTTAGTAAGTTTTGACAAAGCTAATGAAACACGTTTACCGTTTGTATCGTATGCTTGTATAAACTTTCCATTCTTCATTCCTTCATAAACGCTCAAACTAACTTTACCCTTTCTCCCTCGTATCTGATAGAATGTATTTTCACGAGGAACGAAGAACAAATTCTTGAACTCATGACCGTTGTAGTTTGTTATCTCAATAGTTTTCGTCATTTATATA